CAAAGGTGCTCCTGCTTCTTCTCAATCAGTATCATGGTGGATTGTTCAGCTCATTCATCTGGCTTACCAGCTGGCCAAGAAACCCCTTCCAGAGGGCTTAAAGGCACATTCCACCAGAGCAGTTTCCACCTCGACAGCCCTATTTAAAGGTGTCCAACTGCAGAACATTTGCAAAGCAGCCACCTGGGCTACCCCTCTGACGTTTGCCAGACACTACCGACTGGATGTCAGAGCCAAAAATGATGCAGCGTTTGGACGGGCGATACTGTCATCTATGATACCGTGACGGCCCTCCTGCCGGTGAGTACAGCTTGCTATTCACCCATTTGTGTGCATTCACAGAGACCACTACGAAGAAAGTTAGGTTACTTACCTGTAACTTTGGTTCTTCTAGTGGTACTCTGTGAATTCACACATCCCTCCCTTCCTCCCCTCTATCCATCACGGTACCGTTCTATGATACCATGCTTATCTAGTTTACAGTAACGGTGGATTAGGAAACTGAAAGGAAGATGGAGGAGGCGGGGCTTATATACCCCGCAGGGGGAGCTAATTGACTCTTTTTTCTTAAGCTCTAGAATCTTCCGGACGTTCCTGTTGCAGGCGCAGGATAACCCATTTGTGTGAATTCACAGAGTACCACTAGAAGAACCAAAGTTACAAGTAAGCAACCTGACTTTTAAGTTAGTTTTTCCAAATACAAAAGTTTTAAAACTTTAATAAATATTAAAAGCTACCTTTATTTTTTTTTTAAAAAGCACAACCTAGCTTATCTGTTTTTTATATTTCCAGACTGACATTTTAAATCCCTCATAAAGCTTTCAAAGTAAGCATTTCTTCATAAACTGGAATGCATCCAATTTTATAAATAGAATTATTTTATTTTGAGAGGGTGTAACGTAGCTCCTAACGCTGATTATATCATGGTTATTTCAAGTAATTTAGTACAGCTGTTTGCCAGCCAAGGTAATCCAACATTAACACAGCCAATGTGAACCACATGCATAATTCATTTTCTTTCAGTTATTACTATGATGCTATAGAACTATTCTTGTATATTAATGGAGAGTTGTGTTTGTGGCACCATAGTCTAGAACATTTGCATCCAACAATATCTCTACATCTTCATGTTATTGACATTATGCTGGCTTGCACTCAGTGTTTTCTAGTTTATGCACTTAAGAATTAGCATAGGAAATCTCAGTTTACTCCACTAAGCTGAAATTGCCCCTTTGCTATACAGCAAAATGTTAGGGAAATCTATAACTTCTTTTTGTTTGACCTAAATTATCTGTAGCATCTGACTTACACTGTGTGAAATTCCATAAATCTAGTATATGAATCATTGCTGTTAAAAGAACAAAGTCAATAGCAACTTAAAGATTAAAACAATTTGTTGAAAGTTGAATTGCCAAATACTGTACACTGAATAAATCTTATGTAAATATATTTATTAATCTACCAGTTCTTTGTAGTGAACATGTGTTAAAATTGTGCTAGATTCCCATTCTGCTAAATTGTATAAATAGAAAATACATACATTATGTTATTAATAGGGAGTAAACAGTATTTCTTAATAAAATACTCCAAAATGAACATTTTGGACTGTGGTTCATCTTTGTCCTGTCTTCAAAAATGTACTTCTGTCTTCCTATTATAGGTACAGTATGTCATTCAGGGTTACCACAAGAGGAGAGAATATATTGCAGCCTTCCTTAGTCATTTTGGAACGTAAGTGTTGATGCATCACTAACTATTCCTAAGCCATTTTTACCAAGAACTGTGTATCCTCTCTTGTCTTCAATGCCGCTATCCAAAGTATACATGTTAAAGATGGCAGCCCCTATTAGCCCTTTATTTGCTTTGAAGAACATTGGTGGGCAGGGAGGTGATTTTCACCAATTCTCCTCTCCACTGAGTCCAAATCTGTTGCAGAATATTGAGAGACAGTGGTGGCAAAGAGGGAATAAGCAAAATCATCCCTCCTTTGACTGGCAAGAGCCTCTGTCTGATCAAGGAACTCTTCTGTACACAAAAGCAATACTTGGATCCAGGTCCAAATTCCTCTATTCATTTGTGATCAATTCAGACTTGGGGAAAAATACTTCATGCTTAGCAGTAGCAATTATCCTTTTAGTGCAAGCAAGAGGCATCTGTTTAGGTGGGATACAGACTGAGATAGAGGTTACCACCTCCTCAAATATAAGTGGAATTTTTGGGTTGACAAAGGTACTTTCCTGCGGAACAGAGTACAATTATATAATATACTGGAGCTGAAAACATCTTTTGAAGTTTTAATTCTGCTGCTGTCCTTAATTAGTATATTTATTCCTTTAATTTCTTATTTGAATTCTTTGCTTTCCTTTTTGAAAAACCTCTCTATTAAGTGCTTACATCTTCCAATGCATGTGACTCAGTTTTATGTGGAGGAAAAGATTCACCTTGGGCATAATGCAGCCTAAATGGCCCACCCAATAGAGGAAGAGGAAGGTTGCTTGGTCTCTATATAGGAGATAATAATGACCCTCCTATAGAAAGTGACTGCTTGATAGTGCACATTCCTGGTTTCACTTTCCTCCTGTTGCACGAAAAAAGAAAATGAGAAAGAAAAGCATTATGCCTTGTGATGATATGGATGTGTACCTACGGAAAGACGTGTTTGATCTCAGCTCATGTTGTAATCCTATTACATGGCACAGCATTAATGAGCAATAGTTTAAAATCATATGTATGTGTTATTTTTTAATAGCGGTGTGGTAGAATACGATGCTGAAGGTTTCACAAAGCTCACCTTGTTGCTGATGTGGAAAGATTTTTGCTTCCTTGTTCACAGTGAGTAGCTATTTGCCTTGAGCACAGATGTCTAGCACCTTGACGATAAAAACATTCAACTTTATGTTTATGTATTTTCATGTGGCTCTAACATTTGCAAAATTCCAACTTCAGTATGAAAAAGGACAGAGGTGAATTATGTAGATTAGCAACATCCTTTTTTGTTTGCTTAAATCTGAGGTGAACTTGAATTCCGTGTTTAGGTTACAGAGAGAAAAACAGATTGGGACACTATTGGCTGGCTGGCTCCCTGTTAGGTCAAATAACCTGTACTGTTCTGATTATTTCCAATGATGCTTCTTTAATTTTGTTCTACTGCTTTTTTTTTTTCTACCTCTGTTACTCATTGCAGCTAGCATTAAACCCCCACATGGTGGTGAACAGAGAAATCACTAGAAAAAGATCTGGGATATGTGTATCTGTGATTCAGAATTTACCTCTTAATCAGCTTAGTGTTCAGCTCCCCCCTGCTGTAGCCTCCTATCAATCAAGGGTCCAGGAAGAAGAGTATTGAGCTGAGGTTATTATTCACATTTTGGTTGTACAGTGTGGAAGAATAAAGAGAGATTCTTGTGAGGAAAACCAAGTCTAAATAAATTCACGTGTTCTGACAAGAGCAGGCAAGTGTTATATACAAAAGCAGATTGTCCATTTATGATTTTGGTCTCTCTGCTTACCTCCTTCTTACTGTTTCTGCATTACTGACACCAGGGACATCACTTCCAGACTTCTAGGGGTACTTTCCTCTTTCCCTGAATCCCCTACATCTTTTGCAGCACTGGTTCTTCCATTTAGATGAACTCAAGTCCTGTCAAGTTTCCCATTTCTTGCTGTTAAAAGGAGAATCATGTTAGCAAGTATTAGTCTTCAATAAAGTCTAATTCAGTGTGTATTTTTCCTGTGAGCAGTTCTCTTATTCTTCTTTATGGCCTCTGTGAATTCACATGTGGGTTTGTTCTGCGCCTGCGCAGGACATTTTGGAAGTTTCTAGAGCTTTAAAAAAAATGACAATGAGACATCCCCCCCTTGGAGCACAAGCTCTGTCCTCATTGTTAGTTACTCCCTGTAGTGATTAGCCTTATTTTATCCCTTTTACAACATTTTTTCGCTTTCCCACATTTTTTCCTACCCCCCTTCCCTCAACGCCATTTCCCCCCTTTCCCCCACTTTTATGGCCCCTCCAGGACCATTTAAGCAGTGTGTTATCTGTCAAAATAAGATACTGCTCACCAATGGGCACGATAAATGCTTATTTTGTTTGGGAGAACAACACCAAACCCAAACGTGTCCTGAATGAAAAAAAGAAACAAGCCAGACTTCAATTCCTCAGATCTTACCTCTGGGAGTGATCCCTTAATCCAACGATGGAAGTCGTCACCTCACCATCAGCTAGGAAACCAGCTCGAACTGAGTCAGCTCAGCCCATATTGAGTCCAACAGCCTGCTCGGTATCTAGCCTGATGTTGGTTCAGAGCAGACAGAAAGAGTCCACTTCGAGAGCCCAGACTCATCCCAAGGATCCTGCTAGAAAGAAAAATAACAAAGTAAAACCTAAGAAATCAAAGAAGACCTCTAAATCAACTACAGTGGTGCCTCGCATTGCGACGTTAATTCGTTCCGCAAAAATTGCTGCTAAAGGAAAACGTCAAATGCGAAAATAAAAAGCCCATAGAAATGCATTAAAACGTGATTAATGCGTTCCTATGGGCTTAAAACTCACCGTTCAGTGAAGATCCTCCATTGCACCGCCATTTTCGCTGCCTCTAAAGCGAGGAATCTGTCCCAGAAAACAGCAGGCGGCCACGTTTTTCTCAGCAGCCATTTTGAAACTGCCGATCAGCTGTGCAAAAAGGGTTGCTTTGCGATGATCGCAAAAAATGTGTTGCTAAGAGATTTTGTCGCTAAGCAGAGCGATCGCTAAGCGAGGCACCACTGTATTATCAAACCTCCACATGTCACACTTCCATCACCAATATTGGAAGATCATCCAGAGAGGCACCCGCCTCATCCGATAGAGAAGATCAGACCTTGACATTGGCACAAGCGACACCATCAATAGTCAGCTTGTTGCTAGAAAGTGCTTCAGCCTGGGCCATTCACAGGCTGAAGCACTTTCTAGCCCAGCCATGGCCTGTTTCAGCCCTCGATCATCAGGGTGGGTGCTTGTATCTCAAGAATCAGGTTCAGAGTCTCCTCCACATTCACCGCAAAAACGTAAAGAGAAATGGAGACATGTCTCTCCAATCCAATACATGCCACGACATGGAGAACGTTATTATTATTATTATTATTATTATCCTGAACCGCATCATTACATTACCAAACTGGATTATTTCTATAGATACCATTACTACGATCCATACTATCCTCACATGTATCCAGATCACAGCTATTACAGTGAGCCTAGACGAGCTTGATATACATCACCACCATGGTATTCTCCATCCAGATCGCCATCACCAACCCAATACTGACACCAAACCGATCAAGCTCATCATCCAACTAAGTCAACATGAAAAAGATCTGCGATACCAGAAATTACGGTACCAGCAAAGAATCAAAACAATTTTAAAAATTCCTCTTTACATGTTTCTACAGTGTATACAGGACCTTTTCCTCATGACATTGAAACACAATCGGCATCGACACATCCAGCTGATGATCTGATACCGCAAATGCCCAGTAGGACATCACATCGCTCTCCTTCTGAATCATCTTCATCATCACAAAATTCAGCCTCCACATCATCGGGAGAGTCACAATTGAACATACTTACTCCCACATCAGATATTGGTGAAAATCACTGAAACACAATCGGCATCTCCCTCAGCTTCGGAGGTTTATACATCATATGCCCAACTAATACTCAGAATGGCCCAGGTTCTACAATTAGACATACAAGAACCACCCACTCAAGAAAAAGATTTAGTCTTCCATGACCTGGAACAAGATAAAACCCCTCCACTCAGCCTAAGTCTAATACCACCCATGTTTCAGCTGGTGAAGGATACATGGGATAAACCACCATCATCACTACAAATCCTACGCAGAGTTGAAAACCAGTACAAGACCCATGGTTCCTATGCAACGTTTCTGCTGAAACATCCATCACCTAAGTCAATTGTCGTAGAATCGACTCAATATAAGGCATGCAATAAATCATCAATGGCACCGACCAACAAGGAAGGGCGTAAAATCGATATACTAGGAAGAAAACTCTACTCTCTAGCATTCTTTCTGATACGAGTCTCTAATTACTAAGTAGCCATGGGGGCATATCAAAGGCATCTTTTGGATAAAATCTTACCAACATTACAAGCTGCAGCAGAAATCACCACACCTGACTAAATAAACATATATACAGAAGCGACAACACTCGCAAAACAACAAAGAGTGGCCACTCGACACACAGCCGATACAGCATACAAAGCAATGGCCACATCCATAGCGCTTAGACAACATGCATTGCTTAGATAATCGAACATCCTGGATGATACAAAAATGGGGATAGAGGACCTTCCCTTCGATGCCACCGGTCTATTCAACTCAAAAACAGATGAGCTAATGGAAAATCTCCATAAACTAAAGAAGACAGCAAAATCTTCACCCCATCCTCGACCTGAGGAAACTTAACAAATTTATTCGACCTCAAAAATTTCGAATGCTAACTCTCAATACCATTATTCCCCTTCTCTCGCAGGGAGACTGGATCGTAGTCATCGATTTACAAGACGCTTAGTTTCACATATTGATTCACCCTCTACACCAGGGGTGGGCAATTAATTTCCAAGGGGGATGTCTCATTGTCAAATGTTTTTTTAAGCTCTATAAACTTCCGAAACGTACTGCACAGGCTCAGAACAAACCCACTTGTGTGAATTCACAGAAGACTACTAGAAAAACCATGGTTACAGGTAGGTAACCTCTCTTTTTTCTGCTGTGTGGGCAAATGGACTTTGAATTTGAGTGGGATGACTGAAAGGATCATACAGAGTGAAAACAGTTATGAGCAAATAAGCACATAGTTAGGTGATTTTATTAATCATAATATGCATTACTTTTTGCCAGAATCTGGGTCTCTTTGGACTTTCAGACACATCTTTCATTCTTCACCTATAGAGAGGTCAGGTTAAAAGATAAATCAGAATGAATTACAGTATTTTCCATGTATAAGACTATATTTTTGTCTAAAATCTTTAGGCTGAAAATTGAGGGTTGTCTTATACACAGAAGTAAGCTCAAGAGAGAAAAAAAACAAGTGGAAGGGAAAGCAGGGATCAAACTGATCCTGCAGGGCTTTGATCCCTGCTTTCCCCCTCCGCTTGCTAAGCCTTAGCAAAAGCAAAGCAGAGGTCAAAGCACTGCAGGATGGCTTGGGTCCCTGGTTTTCCCTCTGTTTACTACATCCCATGGGGCTTAGTAAAAGGATGGGGGGAAATGATCAAAGCAATCCCATGGCTGTGTAAGAGGGAAAGGGATCAGAACAATCATGCAGTCGTGAAATTGCTTTGATCCCTTTCCCCCTCCTTTTGCTAAGCCCCATGGGGCTTAGCACAACGGGAGAAAGCAGGGATCAAAGTGATCCTGCAGCGCTTTGATCCTTTCCCCCCTACACTTGCTAAGCCCCACTTAGATTTGTATTCGCGAAGGCTTTCACGGCTGGGATCTAATGGCTGTTGTGGGTTTTCCGGCTAAAGAGCCCGAAAAACCCACTTAGATTTCTTAATTTTGGGTTAGAAAAATCTTATACATGGCGGTGTCTTATACATGGAAAAATACAGTATAGTTTGCATTCAATTTCCAGTTTCCTCCTCTCTTGCAAAAAGAAGGTGGAAGAGTAAGAATACAGGGAGCAAGCAGGAGGCACTGCACTCACTGTTCCAACAAGTAAACCATAGTGTTACGTCATATCTTGTCATTTGTTTTCTTATTAAGTTTTAAATTACTGTGTTCCACTAGAATCAAAAATTCATCTTTAAAATATTTTTACCTGTAAAATG